AAAGGCTTTCTGAAAACCCACCATGGATCAGAATAGCAGTCCACCTAGTCCCGTATCCTATCTCTGACAGGCACCAGAATCCTCCAGAAGGCATCTGGGGAATAATCTACCCCCTACACAGGAGTCACCTTGATCGCTAGAGATTGGCTTAAGGGCTGAAGCATGAGGTTTAATATCACTTTCAAATTTTTTTGTCACTAATTATGACAACTCTGCCTATTCTTTATCCATATAAATATCCAATCCCTTTATTGAATCTAATTAAATTCTTGACCATAATGACTTCCTGTGTCAGAGTTCCAGATTAATTACACATTATGTGAAAAAGTATTTCTTTTTATTGGTTTTGAATATCCCACCTTTAAATTTAATTGAATGTTCTCTAGTTCTTCTGTTAGGAGATAGAACTACAGCTCCAGCGCTGTAGTCTCTAAACCATATGCTTTTATCATCTCCCATTCATCTCCTTTCTACAGGAGAAACAATCCCAGTCTTCTCAATTTCTCTTGAAGTGAGAGGTTTTTCCCAGCCTTGAATTACTACTGTCCCTCCTCTCCAAATCCCCCTCCCAGTTTTGCAAAAGTGAAAGAGAAACACACTCAGACCCCAGGTACTGAGGGCTGAAAGCCCCTCCAAGTTTGAGCCCTCCACCAAAACAAACCAAGGCAACATCTGATAAGGTAGAACATAGGCAAAGAACTCTAGGGGGAAATTTTAAAAAACAAAAAACAAAACAAAACATACACCTCCCCATTTCATTTTCTATTATAGGTCACAAGCATAGCTGCTCTATATCTTAGATACACTCCATTGAACTATACCAGTCCAACTACACGTAAAAGTATTCTTACGAGAATAAAAAGCAACTATTTAATCTTTAAGTAAATGGAAAAGTCTCTAAATTATGCTCTTATCTTCTTTAAAGAGTCACTACCATACCCCGCAGAAAATCTAATGCACCAACAGATCTATGCATTATTTTCACTTGTTGTTGATTTTGTCACAATGACATGAGCAGAGCAAGTTTCCAAGGAATTCCAAATACATGTTGGATTGCATTTGAAAAGGTGTTTTAGCACAAAACAAATACTCCAGGCACTATATAAATGCTTTACAGCAGCAGCCATATGATAAACAAGAAATCTCAGGTAGGTAACCTTTGAGACTGCCTTTTTTGTTTTCCTACACACTTCCTCTCTCCTGTCCCCTCTCCTACAGTTTTACATTTTTCTACTTGTGGAGGGAAATAAGGTAAGTTTCATACAATTTTATTTCTTATTAAAGTAATAAACTCACCTATAAAAGCTGGATCTCTGTAAGGCGACCAACTACCTCATATACATCTACCTTTACTAAACATTACAAATTTATCTGAAATCAGTTCATGAAAAATTGGGGGTTGAATCTGGACTCAAGGAAATAAAAGAAGTGTTAGGAAAACATAATATGGTTTTTATTATCTTTATTAAGTTTTCAGGTTTGATATAGTCTATGCCCAAGACACTCATGTTTCTCAGAAGCACTATGCTGGGAATTCTCCTTATCTGCATTCTCTGGACAGAGACTACTATGGCTGGATCTAGTTTTTTAAGCCCTGAATATCAAAACACACAGGTAAAATTAGGTATATTTTACTTTTCTTCCCTCTTCTTCCAAAACTACTACTTGAGACAAAATAATTTTTTATAATACTCAGAAAAACCTAACAGACTGCCTCAACTTAAGAAGGTACAAGTTCTGCCAAAGGAGAGGTTTATCCCAATTCCCAGATGAGTAACGTAAACCAATAGGGCTGCGTCCACAGTAGGAAAATTAGGACCCACAATTCTGCAGTGGTGACAACAAAGGGGGATGTTAGGACTTTGATGACTTTACCACTGTTGTCTGCTTACAGCAAGGTAAGAAAACAGCGTAGACAAAAAACCCTGTCTACACAACAGCTCCCACCTAATGAAGCTGCCCATGTGGTGAATTATGGGCTCTAATTTTCCTATTGTAGACGAGGCCGAATTGTTTGTCTATGGATAGAGTATTTACACTTTGTTTTGGTTACTTTCCAGCAACGAAAGGATCCAAAAAAGCATACAAAGTTAAACCGCCGGGCTGCAGAAGGATTTTTGGATGCAGATGCAAGGCAGGCAGAAGGAGACAACAATGAAATAGAGATTAAGGTTTGTATTTTACAGTCAATGTAATACGAGTTTTTAAGAGGGTTTGTTTTGTATATGACCACATAATACAAAATGTAATAGACTGATACACAAAGGTGGTACAAATCAAAGCTATACTGATATCCGATTTGAGAAGCAGTTAGAAAAAGCACTTGAAAATGGTAACCATAGCTAATCTTTAAAAAAAATCTAAAGCAGTTTAAAATTTATTGCAACTGATCAAACTGCAACCTCCTACTGAAGATTTACTTCCATTTCAAGATACATGTGCAATGAAATTTTACTTTGTAGACTTTCTTCATTAATCTCATATTTTGCTGTACTGTTTTGTTTACAATAGCTATACACAGGGTAATTGCGGTTCCTTGTGTATATAGTTATTTCAATCACAAGTCAGGTGGGTTCTTAGCAGGAACAAGTTTTCCTCATTTTCAGAGAGCTCCGCTAAACACTGATCCCATCAATGTAATCAGTCTACAAAGCCTGTTTACCCAATAGCAGAAAAGAATTAAACTCTCTTTAAGGAAACTGTTAAACTGAGCTCTTCTGGTTTGGTGTTTTCATTAGCTTAATGTTCCCTTTGAAATTGGTGTCAAGATAACAGAAGACCAGTACCAGGAGTATGGACAAGTGCTGGAGAAGATCCTAGAGGACATTCTTGCAGAGGACACTAAAGGTACTTCTCCCTCCCACGTCCCAACTCCTCTGTCCGGGACAGGCGGGTGGAGAAGAGTGTTCCAGCAAAAGTTCTTGGAAGTAAAGGGTATTATCTAACTTAATATATAAAACATTAGGCCAAGATTTCAAGAGCCACG